CCCCAAAACCCCAAAACCCCAAAACCCCAAAACCCCATAGTCACAGATAAAGTTCAAATTAGAGTTATGTTGAAACTTAAAATAGAATCGAATGCAAATGTAGGCCTTTAGGAACATCAATCATAGCATAATGACTTTAATTTTTCAAGGTTTATTTTTTGGACTCTTGTAGTCAGTGGTTGAAAAAGCCTCGAACTACTCAATCAAGTCAACGTTCATCCTAATCTCCTAAATATCTTTGCTTCTTTTGCAGATCCAAGGGTGTGCCAACACCTCTTCGAGTGAAATACGCTTAAACCTATCTTTTTCTAGTAGTCCTAAATAAGTAGTATGTTAGTTAGTATGTATTTAATTTCATATGAATAAGAGTGATTCTTCTTAAAATAATTCTTTTAAAACTTACTTAGAATGAGGTCTTTGGACTCGTCTGAGACGTACTTCCACACTTGATGATCGAAAGGCACTGGGTCGTAGATTGTTTGTCTGGCTGTCTCTTTGTTGTCTTCAGAGTCGAAGGGTAGCATTCCACTGAGGAGAACATACTAGATTACTCCAAGTGACCAAAGATCAACATTTTTTCCATATGGTCTTTAAATAAGAACTTCTGGCGCAACATAAGACTACGTTGAGTATTAATTATATATGCTTTAAGCTTACCAAAGTACCGAATGGGTCCGTGGAAGTCTCACTTGGTCCAATCATCTTTGATAGACCAAAGTCAACAAGTTTCAAAGGAGAGTCATCAGACTAATTGACCATTAGAATATTTTCAAGTTTGAGATCTCTATGAGCAATACCGTAACTATGCAAGTAGTAAAGTGAAGCTGCAAGTTAATGGACTATCTGTCTGGCTCTGTCCTCAGTGATTTTAAAGTCCCTTTTGTCCAAGTACTAGAATAAATCACCACCCGAGCAATGTTCCAAGACTAAAAAAACCCAATATTTATAATATTTTAGTTACCTATATAAATATAATCTGGATTCTCAAACACGTCAATTAGTCTGATGATGTTAGGGTGCTAGCAGATCTTCAAGACTTCTATCTCTCTCTTTTACAATTCCAACTCCTTGAGACTCATGTGTTTTTTCTTTATGACTTTGATAGCAACTTTGTTGCCAGTTTTGATATGTTTAGCGAGTTTGACTTAACCAAACTTACCTTTACCCAAATCCTCCTATAATTTTTTTAATTAATAAAAATGAAGTATATTATAGTGTTTACTTGAATTTCATAAAAGTCTTCGATTTACGAGTATCCCATGGCCTATTTCAAGTGATGAAGCCACTTACTTCTCTCGTCTCTGTTTCTACAGTAGTAAACTCTAACCTTATTCATTGGGAATATGATCTTAAAGGGATATATTAGCGCAGTAGAGTTATCTAGTTATTCTTCTTTGTCGCTCTTAATAAAAACTCCAACCAAACTGTGCATATCCTTATGCCTTTCATCATCTTTTTTCTTGTAGCCTAATAATGTTATGTATAATAATAACTTACAGTAGAACTCTTTTCCAAGTAGACAATACCAGTATCTTTTAAGTTTGCCCTCAGCAGCTTTTCTAAATAATTCACCTTCGTATTATATAAACTACTCGTCGTTTGATGTCAGCTTTAGGTTATCATAGACTTGGGAATTACTATTCAAAATATTGGTTGGGGAAGCATAGCCGTCATCCAATGGATTATGTCTGTTAATTGATTTCTATAGAGATACATTGGGAAGTCTCAATGCATCTGAAAACAGCAGAGGTGAAGTGGGTTCCCTACTGGCTGCCTTTTTTTCTTCTTCTTGCTTTGATAGCTTGCCATCGATCATTTGAATGTGATTTTACTTGAACTATTAAATAGGTATGTTCTGGATTATTGTTTTGGGAGATGAGTGATCAAGGAACTAATCATACCCTTCTTACTACTCATCTACTTGCATTTGTAAATTCTCCTTTAGGTTGGTTGCTGCATTTTAGAGCATCAATTATTAGCTCTTGGTATCGATATTAAATACCATTTTCTATCCTGTTGGTGATAAAGCTTAGGGACTGCCAAGAGGTGAATGCTAGGTCATAAATTTATCAATAACAGATAGGCCAAGTCCATATTTGGGAGATTCAATCTGCCTAACTGGAGACTTTGCAAGCTGAGATATCATATTTGGTTGGTCGCCCACATCTTGCATTTATTCCTCACCGGCTGTGCCTGCCTTGACCTTATCTTCCATGTATTTGTCGTAGTTTTTGAAATATCTAAAGAAATTCTCGGAGCAAGGAAGTTTTTCATGGAACAAAATCATGATCTATAGTCAAAGCAAATGAGTAAGTTGACCTCAAAGTAATATGAGTAGAAATACGTACAGATAAGAACATCTCTGAAGAAATGCTTTGATTTAATTTTATGAAGTCATCGATGTTGATTTTATCTTTACCAGCAGCTTTAAAAATGTCTTCTAAGAACAGCCTGATTTGCTTTTGACTTTCAACACGATGTTAAAACTAATCTCTATAAATTATTGAGTCTGACAGAAAAAACTTACAGCCCACCTCCATCTTTAGTAAATGAGCCTTCCTCCTAGGTGCTGCTTTAGTTATTATGCTAAAATAAATTTCAATGATATTATGGATTTTACGCTAATAGGAATATGAGACATTACTAAATGTATGTCTTCTTTAGATATCTCACCATCTTGATCAAAGTCGTACCTACATGAATTTGAAGTTACTAAAGAGTTGAAAGCAATCAAAATATCTAACTCTGCTTACATATCAAACACAAGCTTAAACTTCGTTTCAAGTTGAGAATAGTAAACCTTGAACATGGCTTTCATAAACTCCTTCTAGTCAATATACTCGTCATTATTTTCATCCATAATCTTAAAGAACCTCTCACTCAAAATTCCGGGCAAATTCACATACTACACAATGTTTTTAAAAACAATTTTTTCGCGAAAGGTTATAGTTAAAATAATAAGTACCTCTATAAAAGCAATATGGTTTATTCCTTTAGCTTTTTTATCCGATCTCTCTGCTAAATCTTTGAATATATCTTTAAAGTAGGGAATAAACACATATTTCACAAAGTGTTCATTCTATTCGATATCATAGTCCTTGAGGAAGACTTTGTTATTCACTAAGCTAGAATGTTCACTAAAGTCGTCACCTTGAGTTCTAATCTATGGTGGTACTCTCCTTGAGTGATCTTTGGAAGCCGAATTCTACATTTTACCTCAGTATTATTGTCAATATTCCGAAATATTTATTTTAATATTAATGAAATGAAAAACAAAAAGCTTTTATCGCTGATGGGGTTTTGGGGTTTTGGGGTTTTGGGGTTTTGGGG